GAAGAACAGTAGACATTCTAATGGAGAGAAGCAGCAGCATGTCTTCAAGGGGAAAAGGACTGAAGTCAGAAATGTGCCTAGACACTGGCTGTTACCCAGGGTTAGGAGAGTGTCTGTCCACCAATAATTATTTCTCATAAACTGTAAATCAACAGGATCCCTCTAAAATATGGCCCTCTACAGGATGGCTCAATAGCCACCTGGCTAAAAGCTTGCCAGGACATTTCTCTTGAATTGTTCAAAGCAGTTTTACACTGCAATATCTAATTTTATGCACATAAAATTAGGTTACATGTTATCGTATGTGAAATGACTGGTCTTCACACCTGTTGAATGCCACAACATGTTAACACTGTATGGTACTGTGTCTGCCTAGTTACAATACAGTTACTTACCAACCACAACCATTCCAAGATTAACCATGATGCTTCTAAGCTCATCACATAGTTCTCTTAATCTGCAATCAGTAACACTGTGGTATGGGAGGAATCTCACAGGAACTGCATATGGTTTCATATCTCGCTGCTCGTCTGCTATCATGAAAACAATAAGGTGCGAGGCTGCATCTCTTTTCTTGGAGTACAGTGACTGGACATACTGAAGAAGCCTTTTTCACAAGTTAGATAGATCGCCAACAATATTGCCACCCCTTGTATTTGCTGAAATTTGCCTTTACAAGCTTGTCGTGGAAGACTTCAACTCCTTATTCATGTTCAGAAGGGTCTTATCACCTTCACATTCCCAAGCCAGGGCAAACAAGTTATCCTCGGATACATTTGATTGCCTTTGTTTGTTGGCATATTTTCCATTTGCCTACTTCTCTCCATCCCTTAGCACCTTCAAATCAACGTTAAGACCAGAAATGACCAATTTCAGATCAGCTTCTAACTGCTGGCGCTGTTCCTTTATCCCTAAAACACTGACGAAACCTCTTCTGTTAGTGTATTCTTGATACAAGGCCTCTAATTTGCCATCTCCAAGGTCGGAATCCCCTGCCTACTCATGTCTCATAGACTCTCTCAGCCCTGTTCGCATGTCACAGGCATCTGCCTTGATCCACCAGTGCCCATTCCTGTTGCAGTCTCTGATTTTCTTTTAGGCAGCCACCTGGTTTCATAAGGAAAGTATATTAGGTGTTATCAGAAGCATGTAATCTAGGCTATATGCTTCTGGTGTCATGGCAACCATAATAGTAAAACTCCAAAAGTTTTAAACACTTGAACAAAAATAATGCAAGCACCAAGTTCAAGTAATTCCATCAACTTAATGCAAGTTTGCTAGTTTCATGTAAACTTTTTCACCACAGATACTCGAGGGTAACAGTAGCCACCACACAATTATTGTAACCCTCTAACACAACTGAAATACAAGTGGCGCAAATGTACATGTACGTGTAATTACTGGCCATTACTGTTGTAGTATCAATAAAGAAGTAATACACTCTATATCATGATATGCTCGAAATCATGATATGAATTTAATAAAGGTGGCTCCAATAATACACACTTTTCTTTTGTAGCTATAGGCATTGAGAAAATAAGATATCTCTCCAAAAAAAAGATTTTTTTAAAAAATTAGCCAAAAAAAAGTTACCTCTACAAACCTGAACATTAGTGTCCCTTGTGAAAGCTGTAGCCTGGATGTGATGTTGAATTGTCCTCACAGAATGACCAGCCACATTTACTTTCGCCTTCATGGGGTCACAATGTTTCTTTGGAGACTGTCTTGGCTGAGGGCGGACACCATACATTTCTTCTATTTCAGTTGGGTTGTTACCTGCAACAACTTGCTCCTTATCATGCCCACTTAGCTGTGCCCAGAGAAAGCTTACATCTTGACTTGGTGTAGATGTATTTTCATCATCTGTTCTTCCATCATGAGGTATTGATATGTTTACATTCAGTGGTTCTTGGTCGGAAGCATCAAAGGGGTCAAAAGCAGTGTCTGGTGAAGTGCAGCCATCATCTCCAAATACATCTTGCCACGCTTGTTGCAAGATACTGTCAGAAGAGCCATCAGTGACTGTATTGGTACCATGCACCTCAACTTTAGAGAAGTCCTGATTGACATATTCCTCTTCTAAAGCACCATATGCAAACCCTGGACCTCTCTACAAGCAAACCAATTTGTGTCCAAAATTTGAAAACATAGTTGTCTCCCACTGGATGTATTCAGGATCGGCGTTGACTTTGTTTACAGAATGTAAAACAAAGTAATGAATGTTGTAACTTAGAAGTCCAAATGGCATCCCGCCAATTGGCAAGCAAGGACCACTTCCATCACCTTGAGGTGTTCCAAGACCCTGGGCTAGATACTGTAATACAGAATATTATCCTTTCCACTCTTGTTCAAGACATGGATTCCCTTGCAGCAAAGGTCAATGAAGTCTGATGGAACAAATTTCTTAAGTTCATCATCATACAGGGCAGACAGGTACTGCCAGAACAAAGTTTGCATCAAAGCACTTAAAAATTTGCTGGTCATGGTTGACATCAGTTCAATTAATTTTGCAACAACATCTTCATAACAGGTAGGTTTGCTGACATCACGATAAGGAGAATGACTGAATATTGGAGATAATGGAGTCTGAAATTCACAAGAAGGTGCAGGGGATGAAGGGGTAGTCCCAGTTGATGTTTGTGCTGCATCACAAGCTGTATGCTGTCCAAGTCCTACTGAAAAGGAGTTCATCCCAAGATCATCCTCAGCTTCATCAAGTGACTTATATTTTTTCCCCAGGAAGGAGTTCACTTGATGGCTACATGCATTTGCCAGAGAGAGTGAGAAAAAGTTAAAGGGAGGATGAGAATGAATTTACACTTGCAATTCACTGAAATGATTCATCTGTAAATACCACATTAAAATAGTCAAAAAGTAAGTTTCTCCAACATTTAGTTATGATTGGGCTGTTTTAATACTATATTAATTAAAATAAGTATAGTTTCACTTCTCAAGCCATAAATAAGTAGTTTTTTAACCTGATCTCTTTGGCTTTCCACTGGTACATGATACAGCCTCTGCACATTTTTCCCAGAAGACAGTGTCTTTCAAAGCGGGCCAACTAAATTGCTGGTTCTCAGGTAAAGGAGTGAAAAGAGCAATGTATTCCACCAAGGCTCTTCTCTCCTCTGTTGACAAGGATGGGGGCTGAAGAGATTCACCATTCTGAAACCAAGGAAAACCAAATTTAAGCAAAACTAAAATGAAATAATTAGTATTTGCCACATACGATATAGCACCAGCTGGTATTTCAATGCCAGTAGGTTTACCTTTGATGGCACGTTCTTGTACAAAACACTGAACTGTTTTAATTTAAAAATCTTTATTAAAGGAGATCTGTGTTGAATAAAGGGTTGCATCAAATCTTACAACTCTAAATGCAATTTATTAAAGTCATTGATTACATGACTGCAGCAAAGGAATAGCAGATACAAGTTTAGCAAGAAAAGCTGTTAACTCTTTGTAAAAGAAGCTTATAATTGCATAAATAGATAAAACTACTCAAATTCATTGTAAAAATTCAGAGGTTTTCCTTAACTCAATTCCCTTACAAGTGAACAATTGAAAGATAAGAAACTACAATGCGTTTGCTAAAATCACTTAAAACCTAGTTCCTAACCTTTTCGGGTTTGAAACTAAATAATGACTTCCGTGATTTTAGATCAACTGGTGGACATCTATTAAGTTTCTCCACAGGTTTCCCGGGAGTTGACCCCAGCTTGGTTTGGCCATAGTTAATAGAGGGGACTGTCGCCGACCTCTTCATCTATGACGGCTTCTGTTGCCAAAACTGTCCGGGATAGACCCAGGTAGAACCCAGAAATTTAAAAGGTGAAGGGTTGAATTCTTCTCGCATCCATATCAAACAGCTCAAAGTGACCAGAATAACGATCGCCGAGCAAACAAAAAGGTGTGAAATTTAGAAATATAACTACATGGCGGTTCATCCAACCACATCAACTTTGAGAGTTCGTATAACATTCACGGAGCTCCAACGCAGTAGTTTAAAACAGCCAAAACGACGTATATGTAACTATCTTCGTTTTCCAATTGTCAATTTTCCCAAGAATCACAACACGTTGCTGGGAATAGACTTTTCTCTAGAAGTCTTCCCTCCGCGAAGGCTATTGTTCAAATGGAGCTTACCGATTGGCCGAAAATTGTGACGGGGCGAGGCTGAAGGCGTGACTAATCCGAAGGCGTATCTAATCCGAAGGCGTTTCGGACGGTTAAAAAATGTTGGTTCATTTGAAACTGTCTGTCTGGATTTCACTTATCCCTCACCTCACAGGTATCGTAATTAACCAAAATCTCTCCATCCCTTCATTGGTTCTTCTCGTTCATAATGTAATGGGCTAAACTTCAGAATACCCGGCCAATGAAAAATCATTCATCAAATCTTGCGACCGCAGTACTGCAGTCGACATACTTTACCTAATATCTGCGTTATATTAAACATCGTAGTAAGTGTTGAGGTTCGTCTCTCGATACGAACGCGTGAATAGCCGGGTATTCTGAAGTTACTCCAATATTTTCCTCCTGTGCCCTTGTCATTCAATATCTCCCGCAAGAAATCTCTTTGTCATTCATTGTTTATGAATAATCCCCGCCCCCCATTAGTACATTTTGGGATCCACGTGGCGAACAACTTGGGTGATACACGATGAAACGTTTTGTTGTGGAAAAAAATTGAGTTTGGAGATGGATCGTTGCGTTTTTCGCCACTGTTTTACAAGAAATGGATTTGGATAATGTCGATACGAGGGAAGTGTAAGTTTTTGCTAGAATTACCACAAAATATCTTGATTACGACATTTGATATACCTAAGGGTGAGGAGTCGTTGTTAGCGGTGATGGAAATTCTTTTTACCGACCTCCTGCTCTTGGGAAATGAGAGGAAAACATGAGGAAATCCCAAGGCCAAGCGATGCCTTGGAGGATCTTGTCGGGAAAGCAAGATCGCGGGAACTATGGCAAAACTTTGAACATATAGAATCAGTTGAGTATCGCTTCTTAAGCGACTCAGTGGTATGATTCTGGTCGTCGCCTATTATCAACGCTGTTTCGTTCTCATTGATCACAACAAGAACGTAGGTGTTTAATCACTGTAATGTAGAACATAACGATAATATTTAATGCTGATTNATCCCCTACCTCTACAGATTTAGTCAGTTTATCAGACTACTTTTATTAATAAGTGACCAACCAAATATTGTTGTAAGTGAGACATTGAATGTTGAGTCATAACAATTTCAAAAAATCATGAACAATTGTCACAAACGGACACTACACCATCTTTGATCATTTGTGACACTTTCTGTTGATAGGCAAGCTATTCTTAAAACTTAATATGTTCAAGAATTTGGATATACATTATAAAACTAATTTACCTTTTGAATAATGTCTCAAATCAGTTACAGAAGCATGTCAGTTTCTGCTCCAAAATGCAGGGCAATGCATCTCTGTGACTTTTGCATTTCAACATTTTCATTTTGGAAGAGCATGCCCTCAGGCCCCCCACAGGAGCAATGCCCTTTGAGCCTTGTGTTAACTATGCAGGGGTGCCAAATTCACATGCCCTCCTGCTCCAAACCTCAATAAAACCCCCGAGTCGGCTATCATAGAGTTCTTTCCCAACTTACATTTATGGTAACAAAGCCTATTTCTTTAAGCATATTTCATATTTCACTATCGAATGGTTAACTATGAAATGAATGTGTCAGAAACATTGACTAAATGACAGTTCATTAATATTTCTTCCAATGATAGATCAATTCTTCAAATCAAATTTATCTTTTTGTAGATGCTGTTTGTTAATCTGATTTGTTATTTTCCAATTTAATGTACAGATCCAGCCAAGATTGTTAAATTTGAAGATGAGTATATTGTTGATGCAAACCAAATTGGAACTCTTAATTGTACAGCAGAAGGAAACCCTCCACCTACTTATACTTGGACTCCATGTGGCTCACGAAAATTTTGTAGCAACAATTCAATTGATCTTTTTAATGTCTGTAATGATGTCAGCTATACCTGCAAAGTGGCCAATAGCCTTGGAAATGACTCAAAAACTGCCAATGTTTGTAAGTTACATTGTAGTCATACATTTTACCGTTGTATTGTAGCTTCACATCAGTATCAACATGGCTTTTTTTTATTGGGTTCTCAGAGTTGAACCAGGTGTCGATCAGCCTGTCAGGTTGCAGAAGCTCATATCATGATTCTACTTTGTCTTGGTTGATATTAAACTGTTTTTGAATAGTTACATCAGTAAAATATTGATGATTCAATTACTAACAAATAGAAATACAAAGAAACCAGTGCAGCAATTTGAACTTTAGGTGGCTTTATGGTGTGAATATCAAAATTGGGCAAACAAGACAGTATAACTTGGGTTTCTGAGAAAGTACAAGAAAAAAATATAATTGTGTTGGATTTTTTATTTGGGAAGGAGGGGGGCTAATGTGCACTGAAGAATGTTGTTTTACTTCTTTCATCTTGTAGTCATTATATATGCTGAGAACTTATTTTACATCAATTTTATAAAATGTTTCAAAAGCAAGAGAGGCAGACACCTGACATGTACATATAGTTTAACCCTCTATATTTACCTGATGATCTACCTTTAGTTTGTATGCAAAAGGTCAGTTTGGTATGATTGACTGTGTTACCCTGAATTGTTTCACTTGACTTGAAGAAATTTTTTAAAACTTTTGCCACTCTGGTTAGTGCTTAAAAGAAAAGTCCAATTAATGGAGTACATGTATGTAATTAACAATGTTGCAATTAATTTTGTCATTAGGTAAATAATCACAACATTCTATCAATGAAAATAATTATTAGAAGTTGAGTAGTTCCCAGGATCACATAAGCTATGGGTAAAACACTAGATGTTCTTATAACAAGTGCCATACAGACTCCTCAATTGTCTCTGAAGTGAAATAACTTCAGAAAGGGCCTAAAGTTTTCCAATAAAAATCAATAAAAATTTTTAGTAAACCTTTTGCTAATGATTTTTTTCCCTTTGTTTTCAGACATTGGAGGAAAACTGATTAACACAACGATTACCCTCAAAGGTGAACCTTGTGAAGATGGACTAAGCAATAAATCTTCAGTAGAAGAGACATTTAATGAACAGGTAACTTTATGTGCATATAACTTATATATTGCCTAAAAAGCCACAGTATTCATAAAAATAATATCTACTGGTATTTATTATGGGATTTTTTTTCTCACAATTAAGTTTGTGCCTGTGTTGAACTTCACTTGATTTGTTAAGTTTTTTATTATAATTGCTCTGACTTTTGGTTACTTTAGGGACAGAGAGTAATGTGCTGGCTGTATAATGATCAAAAGGAAATTCAGCTACTAGAGAGAATGTGTGTTAAAGTCAAATATACAGTGTTTCTTTATTTTCTGGGTTGCACTCTGTCTGTTAGAGTTCTTTCAAATCTTGAGCTTAAAATCTTTTCACAATCTATATTATTGTTCATTTTTGCTCTTGCTCTGTATTTAGGGAAATAATCGACTCAGTGCTTTTTTTCCAAAAAAATATAAAGGATGTAACAATAAGAAGAACATTTATTCATTGAAGTGGTATTTTAAAGATACAGACTGACTAAGTTGCTCAGAGGCTGACTTTTGGCTGATTCTCACCAAAATTAACAGCCATTTTTATTTAATTAATTGGTACATGATATTGTGTCTCATCCTCATTTGTTCTTATGTAGGTGTACAATACGTGTATGTGTGGTACATTTACACTAAAATTTTTTGACAAAAATTGAAATGTTTACTTGCAGCTTATAGCTGCTTTTGCAGATAAATATGGTTACGAAGAAGTGCAGTCAATGAGTGTGAGGTATGCAAATTATTAGGTTTAAGATGATTACCAGTTGTTCACACTTCCATATTTTGAATTTAAATTCTTTTCATTTCCTTTTCTGTTTCCCAGTTCATGTCATTCTAACCCTTGGTTGTTGTCTTTCTCAAGGTGTGACAATAAAACTGTTGATCTTGCACTGAAATTCAACTCCACTACAAAGGGAAAAAATGTTATCACAACACTTATAAATGCTACACTTGAGCAAGGTGGCAAACTGGGAGAGTTCAGTGTGTCTGCTATTAAATTGAAGACATGTCCAAAAAATGTACCTGTAACATCTCCACCAGGTAAGTCTTCATAACACTTCCTATGATAGTTTTGCCAGTCAATGAATTAATGCCTTTAGCCTTTACTTGCAGTTTGAAAAATTTTTTTTGGGTTTGAAAAATGTTTTTGACGGTCACTATAGCTTGTAAAGAATTGCTACTGTAGTGGGTTTTTACACAGATCTCAAAGCGTGGTGTATGATAATAATGAAAACAATAAAACAACCAAGCCAAGCCCAAAGCAGAGCTCCAGTTAGTTTATTTTTTAGTTTTTCCCTTTACATAAACTCCTCAGCACTGGCTGTTGAAGAGGTTTTTCAAGGGGATTTAGAGGCCAGTCTGGGTGGGGAAAATTGATGGGTCTTGGACAATGTACTGGCAAACCAATCAACGCCCTTGCTAGTAAATGGTATTTTCAAGCAGCTGAAGACTTTCACTGATGTCCCTGACGTTTTGAACGGATTTTCGAGGATAGGAGATGTTTTATTCTTCAACTGTAGAGTATGATGTCAGGATCACAGATGAGATGGCTACAGATGAGATGTCTACAGATGAGATGTCTACACCACCACCTGGCAGATCCTCTGAGGGTAAGTCTTCATGTCACTCTCTAGAACTGATATGGATAGCCTCCAATAAAAACATTACACACATTCTGTTTCTTGTAGCTTTTGAGAAATATGGTTCACCAACCAGGTGTGGTCGAGGTCCTTATCTTGAAACATGCTAATGTTCGTTATTATTTTTTTTTTCAGGGATGGATTGGTGGAAGATTCTCCTCATCGCGTTTGTGGTGGCAATTGGTTTTGGCTTTGTCGTTGGAATACTTTTCCGCTACTTTGGCGCGAAAAGTAAGGGCTCAAAGAGTAAGTATTGCGCATTTTAATCTAAACTGTGAATTTAGTCCAATTTTAATTAATTTTTTATTTTAGTTTTCAAAGACTAAATTAACATATTTATATACCTCGAAAAATTCATGGTCGCTATGTTATTAATTTTTTACTTGTNCAAGACGAAGAGAATCTCTACCCCTCTCGGGATCGCCCGCTTTGAGCCTGCGCAAGAAAAAGAGGGCTTGGCGGTGGACTTAAAAAGAGTTCGTAGCTTTTGGACATTGTCGGCAACGAGGTCGCGGCAGAAGACAGTCAAAACAAAGAAAAGATTAAACGACCCTCAAGGCTATTAAGCTTAAGACACAGTTTGCCTTCTTTCTACGCTTTCGAAATAAACAATTCACTCTTGATTCTTATTAAAGAGAAATCTTTCTGTTATATAATAAATCCGTTACTGACTAACCTTGCTCGGTCGACTTTTTCTCGGTCCATAAAAACACACACAAAAAAAGAACTCGGACAATATCCAGCCATCTTGACCTTAGGCTTAGTCAATATCACATATAACGAGATCTTATAATAATTGTTAGAAAACAAAGGGTCATTTTATATTCAACCTGTTTTTTCCTTGGAATTGATAATAATAGGATGAATGAAAGTTGCATAACCTCTATCTCTTCCGCAGTGAGATGCTAGAAGATAATACTATGTTATTTGCAATTTTGACACATCAAGAGAGGATATTTAAACGGCAACAGATGCTAAATGGCAGAAACAGCGCACTCAAAGAAAGCAGAATGTCACCTTTCTTAAATGAATTGCTCAAATACGTGTTAAACGGATGCATTTTCAAGGTCTCTCATTTTAGTTACCTTTCCTTGGCTAATAGATGTATTCAAGATCAAGAAACCTCTCTCTCTTTCGCTTCGCTCGTTTGGGGCAGCAATTGCGAAATTGCTGCCTATTTCCTGCATAACTTTCACTTGGCTGACTGAAATATTTCCACACAACATTTCTTACACTTCCTCTGAAGGCTCATATGAAGGGAAGGTCACAGATGAATCCACAACTCCGATTATCTCTTTCCCCTTACAGGCGAAGGTAATTTTCATTTGACATACTGTACATAGAAAACGTCTGCAAATCAAACAATCATGGTTTCTAGATTGAGATATTCGTGTGTGTGAAATATACTACGACTGCAGTGAATAAACCCACCGAGCACGGAGGATATTCAACACCCGGGTTAACATCGACTTACAGATGTTCAATGAGGATACTGACTCTAGGAGGTCTCTTTTCACATCACGTAGGTGTTGTCGTTATTACAATTGTTCCCTTTCAAACTTTTAATTTATTTCTGCAGTTCTTGCCATTTGGCAAATCATTGTTCTTTGGTATGCCATACAAAAAAAGCACTTCGAAGCTTCAACATCCCCCCACCTGCCCCCTTGGCAACCCATGGACATTTGACCGTCGTCCATGCCAGAGGTGGGATACGTGGGTCATAATTTGAACCGAAAGTGTTAAGTCCTTTCAGTGTAATACACATGTTTTCATGAAGGAGTTTATAGGGAAAGAGCTTTCAAGAGCAAGTGGCTTACAATGACAATTTTCGCACTGTAGAATGATGCTTACAGGAGGAAAACCCAGCAGCAGCACCAAAAACTTAGGCACGACTTTGTTAAGTTCTACAACATTTGTTGATCACACAAAGAACTGCTCAATATTGGGCAGGGCATTTGAACATAATGTTGGATCAGGAGGAGGGGGGAGGAATTTGAGGGAGACAATGTAATTCCAAAAGTTCAAATGCCCCGGAGGGTGCCCGAGGGAGGGGGACGTCAATGTATATGGTAACAGTCTATTTTTGACACGTATTTTACAGTCCTATTTCAAACCATAATTTCTGATATAAATTATTTTGTATCATGCAATCTCTAAGATGTCATATTTAAGGTATGATTACCACCCTAAAAGGGGTTTTAATTAACTTGTTGTCACATTGTGATTACAGTACTCGACAGCCACTGTGACTATGCAGAGACCAATGATCATGCCCCGATCATATGCACAGCTTTACATTCTGAAATGGAGCCGGGTAATAAATGTGACTGCATTTGAATGGCTCAATATTTGTACACATAAGATATATAAATTTATTAATTCTCCAAATGACAGATTTTGCAGTAGTTGGCAAATGTATACTCTAACCTAAAATACAATTTATTAGGCTTGAAATTTAAAATATAAGGCAAAC